TATAATAAATTTTAACCATGAATATCTCCAAAACCATGGGGTTCCGCAGGGTGGGGATGGCACAGTGGGGTAGCCATCCCCCCTCCCACCTCTAAAACCTCATTCGATGGTCCATATTGGAAAGTTAAAATCACCAACATTAACGAAATGTACTCGATACCAAGTAGTATTGATACTTTTGATGCGATACTTGGTATCGAGTAGGTAACGATACTTTCAAAATTTGCGGAACCCTACACTAATTGACATTTGACATCAATCATTTGTCAAATTTATTTTGTAATTGCGTGTTATTTGCCAATTTGTATGAAAAGTTTAAAAAAATATATCTCATGAACCGTAAGTTACCGCAACCTAAAACTTTGCAAAACGCTTTCTTTTAGTGATTACTATCTACAAAAAAAATATGGGCTTTGAAATCGATGGTCCATTATGGAAATATTAGCCAAATATATTATTTACACAAAACATTAATTTTTGGAATCTTAGGAATAAAATATAAGTATACTTTAATTAAAATATTTGGTTAGAATATGACAGTTGTCAATTTTTTAGTTAGACTTGGAGAATGTGTAGCTTGCTACATATTTATTTATCTATGAGAATGTGTGGCATAGAGAACGAATGAAAGGAAAGACAATACGTTATGATGGGATGATGAGGTACGTATGGAAGTTGAAGCAAAGAAGAGAGCATGGCTAGATTTGCTAGCGACCAAAGCTGGTAATTCTGGCGGTAAGAATGATGAGATTGAAAGAAAAAAGGCAGAGTTTAAACGTCTAAATAAGAGAGTAAAAGAATTAGTTGAAAGGAAAAAGCAAGAAAGAACGGATAGGAATGATAGAAGAATATCGGATAACTTCCAGGCAAATATTAAAATGTTCTGGAAACTCGTAAGAAATACCAGGGGACATTCAAAACAGCCTAGATTGAATGCAATACGAGACGAGAATGGTTGTATTCTGAATGATGAAGTGTTGAGTCTAAAGAGATGGAAGGAATATTTTGAAAGCGTATTTATGAGTGAAGAGACGTGTGAACTAAATGAAATAGAAATTCCGAAAGAATAGGATGAAAGAGATAGGGAGATAAGTATAGATGAAATAACGAAAGCAATGAAAAGCATGAAAGTAGGTAAGGCAGCCGGATATGATAGAGTTTCACTCGAAATGCTAAGGGCTGGAGAGGACGTGGTTGCAAGCCTGCTGTACACCTTGTTTAATTTATGTTGGGAACTAAAGCGGGTACCGGGAGACTGATGCAAAGCCGTGATAGTCCCAATATATAAGGGAAAAGTGCCACATCATGACTGTAAAAACTACCGTGGTATCAGCCTTCTTAGCATTATGGGAAAACTGTATGCTAAGGTACTAATTGAAAGAGTTATGAAACTGATGAAAAAATTTGGGATGTGCAAGCGGGATTTAGAGAGGGAATGGGGTGTACAGATCAAGTCTTTTCCATGCGCATGATCGCGGAGAAGTTTTTGGCGAAAAACCAAAAAATTTTTTGTGCGTTCATGGACTTGGAAAAGGCTTATGACAGAGTAGACAGGGATGTGTTATGGCAAACGCTGAACGCATTTAGGTTGAGCGCTGGTTTAATATAGGCATTAAAGTCTCTGTATAGGGACTCGAGTGCTTGTGTTAGAATCAACGGGGTCTACTCGGACTGGTTTGGCATCCATAAAGGTGTCAGACAGGGCTGTGTAGCTTCCCCGTGGCTGTTCAACCTATTTATGGACAGTTGTTTGGAAAATTTGAAAGTTGAAGAATGCGGGTTAAGAATGGGTGAGTTAACCATCAAATGGCTTTTGTACGCCGATGATCAAGTCATACTTGCGTCGTCGGCGGCCGAGTTGCAAATGATGGTTACATTAATGAACAGCTCATTAAAAGAAAGGGGAATGAAAGTGAACGCAAGTAAGACGAAAGTGATGGTTTTTGAAAGAGAAGAAAGCAAAATGGTATGTGAAATAAGAATAGAAGGAGAGTTAATTGAGCAAGTGGATGAGTTCGTATATTTGGGATGTGTATTCAGCAGGGATGGGAGATATGATAAGGATATTGAACGACGAGTGAATGCAGGAAATAAAGTAAATGGGGCTCTACACTCTATTGTGAAAAGTCAGAATGTGTCAAAAAAGGCACGTATGGCAATTCACAATTCTGTATTAGTCCCTACTTTAACATATGGTAGTGAAAGTTGGGTGTGGCAGAAGAAGCACGAGAGTAGAATAAATGCAGTAGAAATGCGGTCACTAAGGAGTATGTTAGGGCTGAATCTAAGTGACAGGGTGAGAAACTGTGTGATAAAAGAAGAGTGTGGTTTGCAAGATGATGCGGTGACCAGGATTAAGACAGGAATGCTTCGGTGGTTTGGTCATGTAGAAAGAATGAAAGCGGAAAGACTGACAAAGCAAATATATGTTGCAGCAATGAATGGAAGAGTCGGAAAGGGACGTCCTAGGCGGAAGTTTGTCGACCAAATTGGCGATATACTAAAAATGGGCCAAATTAAGAGTACCCTTAACCGACGAGCATGTATGCGTGGGTATATGGATGTGGAAGAGGCAAGAGAGGTATGTCAGGATCGTGCTAAATGGAAGTCTGTAGTCTCTGCCTACCCCTCTGGGTGACAGGCGCGAGTGTTTATGTTATGTTATATATATATATATATACATATATATAAGTAGGCTCTATTATCAAATTAACGCAAGAGAAATTTCTACATCTTGATCTAATCTGAAATAGTGCTCTCTAGATAGTATTATTTATAAAATATTATTTATGGACATTGAAGTAATATGTACTTAAGTACTAGAACAGCTATTTCAAACAAAAAATGTGCGCTACTCTGTGTTCGCGTGGTTGGTATTTTTATCATAGAATAAACATAGGTAATAGTAGATTGTATTGTTAAATATGTAAATTATATCGAGAATAATATTTAAATTTTGTCATTTATTTTGTATATTATATTTGCTTATTTAATATAATATTACATAAGAGCCGTGGTAGCTCAGATGGTTAACGCTCGCTGTAAATATAACAGAACGCGAGTAACCCGGGTTCGATCCCCGCCGGCACCAATGAAATTGTTATTTGCAATTTTAAGTGCTGATTTACCGCGTGCTCGGCGGTGAAAGAAAACATCGTGAGGTAACCTGCATGTATGAGGAATAAGAGAAAAAAAATATTTTGAAGACATGTGAAGTTCGCCAACGTACGTACGTATTGTGGCAGCGCGGTGAACATTTCCTTGGCCTAAAACACTCTCAGACATGAGGGACGTATTTAGGCTGTAACTTTACTTTTAACTTTTTACATAATATTATATCACAATTACATTTTAACGATATTTTTATCTGAATATTTTAAAAGTTATCTATGTCAAATATAAAAAAACATACTAATTGTATGTTTAACAAAACTTATTAACGTAACATTTAAATTAGAAATATATGTATTTAAATTAGAATAAGAGTCGTTCATAAATGCTGGGTACGCGAGAGTTAAAAATGGACGAATTTATTCCACTTTGACTTTGATGTGGAAACCTAAAAATAAAAGAATAATAAGCAGATTTAAATATGAAAAATTTAGCCTAATTATATCTACAAAAAAATGTGTACTTATAACAATATATCCGTCCTATACTTAGTACCCACAGAAATGTCGCATCTGAACATATTAATTTCATAATCTATATTCCATGACACGAGATGGCGTCTTAGGAATAATTTGTTTTATTATTAATCTATAATACTTTTTCTTCTTATTAACCGATGAAAAGTAATTTCTTCATTTTTACTGACGTTTCTTGAATTATTTGTGCAATATTTAAGTACACACGACGGCATATTTTATAAAGGTTTTTTTTTAATCAACACAACACGTGACAACTCTACAAGCGCCTAGCGAGTGACTGAAAGTGCGATACATGCACCGCAGTTGAGTGGAACAGAGTAGCTGAATGCAGTGTCGCCTCTAGTACGTGGCACGAAGTTAATTCTTAATTAAAAAATTTTTTAAATTTTAAATTTTTTTTTAAAAACCACTTTAAAAAAACCAAACTTTATTTTTTTTTTAAACAAAAATATTAAAAAAAAAAAAATAAAATTTAATTACACCAAAAGCTTTTAAAAAAACCCCACCACCACTATATAATTAAAAATTTTTTTTTAATACTCCTTTTTTTCACCCCCCCTACGTGGTACATAATAGCTCAATGTTTATGGCGTAGACAGAGAATGCTAGGTTTCTCTGTCTACGGTTTATGGACTATATTTTTTAAGGTTTATAATTTAGTTGTTGTTGTTGTAGATTGGCTGCTTTACTTGAGCCTTGCATCTTGCTTTGCGTCTCACGATTATATTAGTTTATCTTTGCCGTAGACAGAGAAACCTTTAGACAAATTGACGCCTTCTTTCGCATTCGCACACGAAAAAGATAGATTTATGCATACGTCTTGCATAGAAATGAGATAGAGCGGTGTGATTGTTTGTTCCTTTCACCGTGCCGGATTTTTTGTTTAGCAAACTCTACGTTTGCTCAACAACTTTGAAAGCGTAGCGATTTAAGGAGTTTACAAGTTGGTTTAAGTGAGAAAAAAGTGTTTTGTGAGCCTAAGATTGGTGAATCTTGTTCAGTTCAGTTCTTAGAACAATTAAATTTTTTATCTAAATGTGTTTAAAAGTCATAAAGATTATTGTATAACCTAAAAATTCGTTATCGTCCTTTCTCACTCGAGGCCACGCCGATCATTATTCTATAGGTTTCTCTGTCTACGATCTTTGCTTTGCGCTTATGTTTGTCTATGACAGCAGAAAACAAAATGTCGACAGAATGTTGTGATTAAATGTTGAAGTTTGTACTATATAAATACTCATAGCGATAATAATAGCTGATTTATTATAATAATTTGGGATTGGAATATATTATTCAGTACTTATTATTAGTTCGCAATCTATAACGATGTCGTCTTTACAAAAAACTATTATGAAAAACAAATTACCACCTCGAATGCCTAGGTCATCGGGAATAGCGAAGTAAGTGACAAAACTACATTTTCATTTATTTTTAAATTAAATTAGAAACACTATCGCATTATAACAATCTTATTTTTTTCATAAATAGCTAATATTCTAAAAACAAAACATTGGAATATAATTATTACAACCATTTTATTTTAAGAGTATGCAAGTCCAAGTTAAGTTTAAGTATGTAACCTGCATTTATGAGCAAATATTTTTACAGACTAGCACCATTTGGTGCTGCCAGGCGTAAAGATTATACACCAGTATCGTGGAGGCAATACTTTCAAAAATATGAAGATGTGGAGACTGAAGGTGGAACATTTCGAGTGTATCTGTCCCCAGAGCCAGATCATCCCTCAAGGCCTCGGATAGTAACTCTGCATGGTGGTGGATACTCTGCATTAAGCTGGTCCTTGTTCACTGTATGTAAAATCATGGTTTTTATATTTTTTGTACTGTTAGTATAATTTTACTAGCATGGTAGAGCCATTCGGGTGGGCTCGACTGGAATAGGACTACACTTTTACCAAATAGTGTTAAATAACAGCTTAATGCTGCTGTGTTTTGTATGGTGAGTATAGAGAACCAGAGACCATTTCTACAGTAAGCAAGGCGTTCCATCTTAGTCCTCAAGGGTGACAACATATCTGTGTTTTGATTCTTAATCGGAGATAAAAGTAGATGTCTATGGGCCACAGCATCCACTTACCATCAGGTGGACTATGTTCTGGACTATGTTTGTTAGCCATATTGTATATAATAAATAGTATTTTTTTAACGAATTGGGTGTATTGATATCATTAATTATTGTATTATGTGATGGGACAAGTGTGGGAAGGCAAAGAAAAGTGCTGTATTTGAGAAAAGTGTTTATAGGATACATTTTGGTTGAGCCCAAGGTATGTTAAAATACCAGTGTAACACTGCTCTATTGCATATGGTTAATGATGCAAGTGTAGATTAATTAAAACAAGGCAACTGGAGATAAATAAAAACTTGTCATCTATGATGATAAAAGCTAACAGTGTATTTAATAGTAAGCTGCAACTGAAGTAAACAAAAGGCTACCAAAACATTTTCATCTGCGAAGACCGAGGGAGCAGAAGGATGGAATAACTGTCAGCCTGAAATTACAATGTTTTTTTACTATTATAACCCACTGCTTGACTATTTCACCTATTGGTAAGTGGTGATGTAATTATAGATGGTAAAACTTAGCTCTACAAAGAATGTGATGTAAAGTTATTATATGTATTTATGGGGATTTCACCACTAAAACACAAATTTAATTCATACCTTTTATTTATTGACAGCATACTGTTAAATCTTAGTTTTTTCATAACCCTGCAATATGGCTTTCAAACTCTACAATCTCTCCACCACCAAATATAAAAAACATAAGTATTGATGAAAATGCATAACCAATCATGTAATTTTCAAAATTTATATTTTGGATTTGGATTTCTAGTTGATGCAGTCCTTGCATTGGTACCTCTAAATGTTGATTTGATTAACTGCCAGAACTTTCCCCCTCTTTTCCTCTTGATAACATGGAGTTGGAAGTTCTGGTATCAACCTCTGTAGCCTTTGAGTTACAAAAAGCTTGATCTGTGCTCAACATATTAGAATAATTTTCAAAATTACTTAAATCTAAATCATATTCTTCCTTTTTATTTCCTCTCTATGCAACAATATGATCGACATGTTTCTTATAGTATTTATTTAACTCAGGAACAAAAATAGTAAATAATCTATTTCCTAATTTATTTTTAACTTGTCGTAAAAATGTTTTATTAAAACTTTATCCTCTTTGTTAAAATTGCTTTTTCTTCGTCCATCATAGTTTTCACTCTGTAAGATTAGTTTATGCATGTTGCAACATTATTGGTTTTGGATGACAAAAATGTATATCATTGGTGGTCTGCTCAAATTTGTGATCACTAAGTAAATCGAGTCGACAGTAGAGCAGATGGCCTAACAACAGCTGAGCAGGTGAGAAACTGGTAATGCAATGATCCGAATTTCTATAACTAAACACCACAGTGTTACTTCAAGTTAGAAGATTATAGAGAGGGCATGGAGAGGTCATGTTTGACTGTTCTAGTCCTTATTGACTTTTCAAACGCATTCAATTGTGTCTTATCTTCGCGGTCACCAGCAGGCTGTTTGGTCTGGTCAGGATTTTTCCGACTGGTGCAATCTGTCTTTAGTTGTACCACAAGGGGGCTTCTTTCTCCTCTCTTGTTTTCATTGTTTATCAATCTTCTTACTACCAACCTTCAATGTTCTTACCATCTCTATGCTGACGATCTTCAGTTATACTCACAAGCATCCTCGGTTGAAATTGCTACCGCTATTGCAACTATTAATCAGGGCTTACAACGAATTTCAGACTGGTCACAGCACTTTAGAATAACGGTAAATCCCAGTAAATGCCAGGCTATCATCATTGGTAGTCGTCGATTGGTGTCACAACTTAACATACCTGATCTACCATACATTTGCTACGATAACTGTGTAATTATTTTCCGCACTAGGGCCTTAGGCCGGTTTTAGAGCTCGACCGACCGTCAGTGCGTATGCCGGTCGCGCTTGCCATTTATATGAAAATTCACAAGTCATTACAGTGCTTGACCGACCGTACGCACGCGTATATTGCTACGCACTGCGTACGAGGATCGTCGGTCGAGCGCGTCTAGTGTTAGTGATTTAAGTAATTTTTATCAAACATGGCATATGTCGACACCGAACATCTAATTACCGAAGTCTGTCTTTGTGAACTTCTGTGGAACTAAGGCCACGTGTTATACAAAGACCGTGATGTCAAGTTAAAGGCCTGAAAAGAAGTTTGTACAGCTTTGTTTCTGAATTTCTATGGGTGTACGTGATATCTACGTCTTATGTTCTTTATATGTTTACATATATAGTGAGCAGCAACTAAACAATTTGTAAACGCGTTCATTTCGTATACGTGTTTGTGACTGTACCAGTCCGGCCAGTTTAGTTGCTCAGGAGAGCTCTGAATGCTACAAACTGACGAATCGGTTATGCGTATCGTCAGGACCGATGGTAAGCACCGACGGTCGGTCGAGCTCTAAAACCGGCCTTAGTTGGAGGTTACAGGTGTCAGAGATTTGTCGTAAAGTCACAGGCATACTTCTTCTTCTTCTTCTTCTTTTAAATTATGGCTTCTCTTGGTAGAATTCTGCCAGTGTCAAGTCAGTCATGGAAGTGACAAGATAATAATAGTTAAAATAATAGTTCTCAATTTAATGAGTGGGTTCACAATCTACAACAAAAGACGTCACATATTTATGCTACCATCACCAAAGTTGTTAAGTAATTTTACAGTTTAATATTATTAGTATGGATAAAAGCACATAAAATATTTACGAAGGGAATGTACACTAGGGTTAGCAAAAATTGGAAATTTACTGGACGAGGGATGTAATTGGGCAGGATATCGTAGAGAGAGAAAGAAAGTTTAGGGCACTCAAAGAACAGATGATTGACAGATCCTTCATCTAGGCCACATTCACAGATTGAGCTAGCCCTAATCCTGAGTTTGGCCATGTGTACAGGAGTGTACTCCTGTACACATGGCCAAACTCAGGATTAGGGAGGAAACTCAGCATGACCAAAGCGTAGGCGGCAAACAGTAGAGGTGGTAGTTTTGCTAAAGTGGCGATATTGAAAGAACCAGGGTTTTGATGGGATATTTATTACATACAAGGCATACTTCATTCCATCTATCATCTTAAGTTCTTTCTGCCCCTTCAACTAAGCTTCTACTCATCCAATCTCTAATTCTTCCGTTATTTGACTACGCCGATGTTTGTCTCTCTAATATTTCTCAGGAGCTGCTGAGCAGGTTTGACAGGTTACTTAACAACTGCACACGATTCATCTTTGCCCTGCGCAAATATGATAACGTATCAGAATTTCGCTCCCAGTTAAAGTGGTTGACTATACGCCAGCACAGAGATTTTCGAATGCTGTCCACTCTGTTTTCAGTTCTTAATGATTCTTTTTCACTCCTTTATCTAAAAAAAATATTCCAATTCCGTAGTGACACTCATTCTCTCAATCTCCGACCTTCACACAATTTATTATTCTTCCCATAACTCCTGTTTTATCAGTGTCATCATGATTTTTAAAAATATCCCACTCTCGCATGTGCTCATCAAATGTGAGGCTTTTATTTTATCCTATTGTAGTACATCGACAGTGGAAAGAATTATGTATTACTATTTTTGTACATAATTTAGTACATGACGGCATGGCGGCGGTGCCCGTCGTACGTCGGTACAGCAAAATTGTAAAGAACACGTGCACCGATCGCGCCGCCCGGCGCCACGCTCAGTTTCCCCCACCGCCCCATTACTCGCCTTGTTCTGCAACAACGGGTATAAAACGACCGAGCAGCAGGCAGTCATGGCTCTGGCGTGGCACGGTTTACTTGTTGTATTCCGCTACTAGCTCATCCTAGACTATTCGGATAATAATTAATTCGTTTCCACGAATTAATTATTATTATTATCAGCTATTAAATTAGTCTCTGTACAATTTATAGTTGATTATCTGTGATCCGTGTATTTTGTTATTATTATCAGCTCTTAAATTAAAAAATGAATTAAAAATTGAAGGGAAAAATAGAGTGGATACCCAGTATCACAGATAGAAACCGCAATTGCGAAACCAGACGCCCCGAAATTATCTCGATAGCCACAAACTTTTTCCGAGAGTTGTATGCAAATAAAAGCAACAGTCAAACAACAGACCTAGCGGGCGGGGAAGAAGTACTAGATATAATACCTGCAGAAGTGGAAAAAGCTGTAAAAACTCAAAAGAAAGATAAAGCTCCCGGTTCAGATAGAATCAGTAATGAATTTCTTATCGAAAATAAAGATCACCTTTTACCAATCCTGACCTACCTATTTAACGAAGTGCTGCAGAGTGAGATAATACCTGATCAGTGGACAATATCAACCATAATACTGCTACACAAGAAAGGTGATAAGAATAATATAAATAATTATAGGCTTATTAGCTTAATGTCGAACATCTACAAAGTTTTTGCCAAGGTAATTCTTAACAGAATATCCAAAACGCTAGAGGATAATCGACCCAGAGAACAAGCGGGATTTAGAAGTGGTTACTCGACATTAGACCATATACATGTGGTAAAACAACTATTTGAAAAAGGTAAGGAATTTAATATAACCTTCTACTGCGGTTTTGTTGATTACAGTAAGGCCTTTGACTCACTTGAACATGAAGAGATCTGGCAAGCGCTTAAAAATCAGGGTATTGAAAATAAATACATAAGAATAGTTTAGTTTAGTTTAGTTTGCGACGGGCTGTTTTCCGCAACTCCACGTCTATGCGCGTATTTTGCGTGTGGGCAGGAATAATGTGATTA